TAATATTGAAGCATTATTTACATATACACATATAGCCTATACACTTATTGTTATGTAAGGTTTTCGTAAATATTATCAATAGATTCTTCTGGAAGTGAAGAAGCTTCAAAAAGTTTTTGAATAAAATATTCCCCAACCGTTAAATTGTCTGTGTGCGGTTGATTAAAATTTTGGATTAATTGATCAATTTTGCTGTTCAACTTTGAGACAGAATGTTCAGAGTTTTTTATATTGTAATGTCCCCACGGAAGCGTATTAGTTGTTTTCGGAATCAAGAAACGTTTATCGTCTTTAGGGCAAAGAGCTACTTTAGTTTTCATTTGAGTGAACATAGTATGAAGGTCAGAAACAAAAACATTCATACATTTTATAATGGTGGAATCGTCCCTAATAACGCGAAGGTAATCGTCAATTTCGAGATGTAATTTAATAACGTTTTTCTTAACACCTTTAGCTTTTTTAACAATTTGATCAATCGCTTCAACACAGTAAGCTTTAGCTCCGGTTCCATAAAATGCCTTAATAGGATTATTAGGGAACTCATCTTTGAATTTACCGATAACAGATGAGGTAATGGGGATATTGAAACTATTCTCGCGCGGATAATTGGAAGTATCGAAGTGATTAATATTTTCAGTAATGTCTCGGTGAGCACTTTCAAAATGAAGGAATCGGTATCCATATACATCAAAGAAATGTTGTGTTGATATTTTCGTTTAAGAAAGGTGTAGTAGAAGTCGTACATAACAACTTTTGATCAATCTAAGATAGTAAAACCAACGTAGAGAAGTTTATCGTAATTAATACGCAATTTATTCATCTAAATGGCTACGAAATAGGGAGTGAATATCTTAGAATTTTTAAAATTAGGTCTAGCATTTTACATCAACTTGTTTATCAACGTTCTCCATTGTTTTTCCGAGAACACTATTGCTCATTAATTTGAAGAAGGATTTCCCACATTTATTTTCAGACAAATTACGTTGTCGGGTATTTAAATCGATGAAAGGTTTAAGCCAGTGGGACTGTTTCAACTGGATAACTCTGTGAACTTTAAGTAATCGTAGTCCATTACGAAGGGCTTATTGAAGCGTGAAATGAACAACATATTTTGTCTTATTCATAAGATTCGGTATNCTTTTTCCAGCAATCTCTTAAGTTTCTTTCTCCTATTCCCCATACTTTTCCCATTACACTTAATGCCTTCTTTTTCAGATTTTTAATGTGCTTGTCTACTCCATTATTCCTCTGTAATATGAAGCCTAAGTAATTAAATTCTGTAACCTCTTCGATTGTTTTTCCGTTCCATTGGAATTCGACTTTTTTCTTTCTTCCTCCTGCCTTCTTCCCTCTTAAAATTTTTGATTTGTCTGTATTTAATTCCAACCCTCTTTCCTTTATGTATTTGTTGAATTTTGTTAACATTTCCCTCATTCCTCTTTCATTATTCGCTAATAAAACTATGTCATCTGCATATGACACTGACCAAATTTTTTTTCTACCGATTACTATACCTCCTTCTTGCGCTGTGCTCATTTTCTTCTCTAAGTTTGCAAATGTTGCATTAAAAAGTACTGTGCTCAGTGGACACCCCTGTCTTATGCCTTCTCTCATTGATATAATCTTTGATTTTTCCCCATTAACTTCTATCTTAAAGTAAGTTTCCTCATAAATTTCTCTTATCCTCTCTTTTAATTTGTTTTCTATATTTAGCTCTTCTAAGGTCTTCCATATCGTATCTCTTTTAAGCTTATCGAAAGCTCCTTTCATGTCTGCAAAGAAGAGGAAAATTTCACCTTTTTCTTTCTTTATTTCTTCTTCGATGGCCGTTTTAACTATGTATATTGCGTCAATAGTTCCTTTATTTTTCCTATATCCCATCTGCGTCTCTCCTAATGCTTTTTTGTCTTCCAATTCCTTTTCTAATCTTTTCCTAAGTATTTCCGCGTAAATTTTATATCCTGTGTTCATAAGAGTTATTCCTCTGTAGTTTTCCGGTTTATGTCTATCTCCTTTCTTGAAAATTGGTTTTATTATTCCCATTTTCCATTCCTCAGGCAGATCTTCATCTCCATTCCATATTTTATTTAGTATTCCTTGCAAGTTCTCTTGTAATTCCTTTCCACCATATATCCAGGCTTCATTTGTGATTTTATCTTCTCCAGCCGCCTTTTTCTTTTTCAGCTTCTTTATTACTTGTTCTACTTCCTCTTGCGTTATTTCTTGATCTTCATTTTTTTCTATTTTCTCTTCTTTACCCAGCTGTCTTGTTTCTTCTACTACTTTTCCTCCCATTTGTTTAGCAAAGTGCTCAGTCCATTCAACCATATGTATTTTTTTACTTATCTCTTCTTTTTTTGTTCTTTGTTTGTTTATTAACTCCCAGAACTTCTTTCCCGTTTTGTCCTTTCTTGCTTCTGACCAGTCTTTCTCCAATGTCAGTCGTTTCTTATCCTCAATTATTTTTTTGTATTTCTTTTTACATTCACAGTAATCTGTTTTCAGTTCACCTGTTTCTATATATTTTTTCCTTGTCTTCTTTAACTCTAGTTTTGCTGCGTGACATTCTTGATCCCACCATTTCTTTTTCTGGATACTTGTATTAATCCTTATTTCCTTTATACATACCGCTGCTTTTAGCTTTTCTCTGAGTCCGTTCCAATTTTCTGGTCTTCCTAATTCTTTTAACTTATTGTTGTAATTTAAAATATCCTCCTCCGACCATCCTTCGTAGATTATTGTTTTGTATTTAGATCCTTTTTCATGTACCTTTTTCGTTAAAATATTTAATTGCAAGTCTAATCTTTGATGGTCTGACTCATTGTTATCCACTACCTGCATTCTCTCTATCAGATCTTCTTCAGTTTTCCTATTAGTAATTACGTAATCTATTACTGACCTTCCTTTAGTTCCTATGTAGGTTAATTCCCCTTGTTCATCGCCTCTTACGTTTCCATTTAGGATGTACATTCCATTATCTGAAACCCAATTCAGTAGTACCTCTCCTTCTTTATTTACAACCTTATCTTTCGATAGCCTATATTCTTCTGTCATCATTTCACTCTCTCTTCCACCTTTATTTGCTGTTCTTGCGTTAAAATCTCCTCCCATTATTATGTATCCTTCCTTGATATCTTCTAATATTTTTCCTACTTTTTCATAGTTTTCACTCCTTCTATCTCTCATGTATACGCTTAAGATCATAAGTTTTCCTTTGTCTGTGTTTAAATCTAGTTTGATTAGTTCCTCATTTAACTTTTCTATTATTGTAGACTTTACATTTAGGGATTTGCTAAATGCCGTGACCATTCCTCCTTTTAGCCTTCCCCTTTTCCCTTCCCTTCTTGCTTCAACCAGTAAAATATTGTAATTTATCAATTTATTTTCTATTAATTCTCTGTCTTTTTCGTCCGCCCAAGTCTCTGTTAAATTTATTACGTCATACTCCAGTAGTTTTTCCCATTCTTCCTCTAAATTCCTAATACCCGCAACATTCCAAAAGGTTATTTTTAAACATTTTACTCCATTATAGTGTTCTGGTTGTTTTTGTGATTTAAAATTATCATTAGTTCTAAGAGGAGCGTTTGTTTCTTTAAATAGCATTTTGCCCTGGTAATACTGTCCTTGTTGAGTACATCTTTCGCAACCGTATTTGCCATTGTAACCTTTGACACATTTAATATAAACTCTCGTTGCAACATCACATGTAAAACACATAATTTTTGCTGAGTAGGTGTTATTATTATGTTCTGATTGTATCATGGTATTAACTTCTTTTATAAATGGAGAGAAGTCGTTTATGTCGGGTTTACCGTTTCCGCAGAAGATAGCAATGGGAAATGGGTATATGTTAAAATTAAGTATAAACACTTCTCCTAATACTGGCCAAAATTATCTATTCCAACTTTTACTCAGTGGCACATCATCAGTGTTAAATATTGTTACGCAGTGAAGTCTTAAGGAAACTTAAAAAACCAGTTTAGACTTTAAAACATATTTCAACGTTAATTAAATATTCCATAATTATAACGTTGCTATTCTTTTCAAATTCATAAAACAGTTATCGAGGTCATTTACTTGGAAAATAAGCGTATTTCGCAGCAACCAAGCAGTAAGCGAAAATGTTGAATGTTGAACTATGTACAAATAATCATTTGTTCATCAGAAAGTTTAGCGCGTGAACGGGGATCGATAGTCTGGTTGCAATCGGTTGACTAGGGAACGCGAAGGGAGAAAGTTTACCCTTAAAAGAGTAACCAGTGGGAAACTCTAGGTGTTGGTGACACTACCTCATGGACGATGATTGCAACGGTCCAATCAATGTAAGTACATTTCTTAACTTTTTCGGTGTATTGATCTACGTTGAGAGAAAGATCCTTTTTATGAACGTTTCTGTTCAATTCTCTATATTATCTTTTATAATTTAGTTGTTATTGTTTTCCAATCTTGCCTTTCTTATCATCTTAATATCTTAGCCCCATTTACGCCAAAATAATCAGGCAATTAAAATAAATAATTCAAAAAAAACGAAGTAACAAATTACCGACGTGACATGTATGGTAGAGGCTTCGTTTCTAAATTGAGCGTGACAATATCAAATGCAACTCGCATTTGAGTTTGGACGTAATCATTGGGAATGAAATAGCGTTCTTGCATCACCAGGCAGCTCTATGTTTAAAAATTGCTTTAAACCTTTAAGTAATTCAGTTGAGTATGATTAACTGAAAAATTCTGTGCCCACAAACATAAAAATTGTTGGAAGTTTTCATTAGAATTTGTGTTTATTAATAGCTCATTTTCTACGAAATCTTCAGATGAAGACAATGATTCAACCCTGGTCTGATTAATCCTCCGTGGTTATAAAACATTCCGAGGTATCGTCGTAATATGTGTTTTCAGCTTCAGTGTTTGCAACTTCGCTAATAACATTATTTATCATAACTTCTTTAATTGTACGCTTTTTGTTTGTAAGGGGCCAGATTTCTTCAAATGATCTTTTTACGCTTCTGTACTTGCCACTATATTTTTTTTTCCTGAGGCGGATAGCTATTAAGAGAACAATTAAAATAACTTAGCTAATCGTCGAAAGTGACGCTGCGGAATTTGGTTAGGTGAGCTTTAAGTTTTCGTTAGAGGTCGCGACACGGTGAGCGAGATCACGGTATTTTTGCCACAGACGGCGCGTTTTGTTTTTCGTCTTGACGAGGGCAAGAATGTCTGAGGGAAGGGGATTCTCTAGGGAGAAGTAGGGACGGAAGGTCGTGGAGAACTCGATGGCGTTTGAATGGAGATTGACAGCTTCGTCAAAGTCCGCTTTCATGCAAATTGGAGTGCACTTTAAGAAGGATGTTTCTAGTGTGTATCGGGAGGCGGCTTCAATCGTGACGTTAAAGTCTAAAACTTTGGCAAGAAGGCAGATGCCTTTCCTGTTGGTTTGTCGCCATCCTCAAGAGTCGTATATGGCATTTAGATCGCCTGCGACGATGATCAGGTCGTTTGGGGGAAGTAAGAGGGGATGTCAGAAAAATCTTGTTCGGATAGGGGGAGTATAGGGAGACAATTCTGAAGGGGCGGATGTTAGTGATATTGTGAAGTTTGGAACGAAAAGATAGACTTTTTAAGAAAGGTGAGTTGCGATAATGCAGGCAACACCGATTGACTTTTCCTGAAGAAGATGCTCGCGGTCAGTCTGTTCACCTCTAATACGTTGAGCTTTCCAGGTAATTACTCAAAGATTATTTGGGTGGGCTGTTTTATCCATTGGACTGTGTTTGGAGAGCGACGACAATGCGGCGATCATCGTTTGCAAGATGACATGGAGTTTTTGTTTGACGGTGAGATGGTGCGAGGTCGGGGGGGTGTTCTCACTGCCCTGGTGTAAAATTTTGAGGGGTCATCTTTATGGAAGTAACAGGGAGACGGGGACTAGCTGAGCGCTTTTTGGAGCGGCTGTAGTGGGAGGAGGAGGAGTGGTGGTTTTCTTAATTGCTGCTGTTCTTTGTGGAACCTTGGTGCAGCCCCGCTTAGTTGCACAGTGGTTGCAATTTGCGCAGGAGGGGTTGACGGCCTTTTTACCCTTACATCTGGCGGTATCGTGGTTACGGCCGCAGATGGAGCAGACCCATGCTGCGGGGCAGTAGTTGATCGTAGAAGAACTTCATGCAATGCCGGCATTGAGGGACGTCTTTAGTGGCTCTTTTTGGCTCGAGTTTAACGTTGAGCTCACAGAGCTTGCCAAGTTCGATGATTAACTTGGACTTTGCGGATGACCTGCCCAAATGGACGGACACTATTGGCCAGATTTTGTTACCTTTCGATAGAGAAGCATCTATGGGTCAGTTCGAGCTGAATTACGTCCATGGCGATGGCTTTGCCGACCCCATGAAGGACGACATGAAGATCCTTGTCTTGACGAAGGTGACAATTCAACCTTGGATTCGTCTAGGAACCTATGGCGGTGACGGATGGTGGCTCTGGATCTGTGACTTGAGTCTGGGAGGGAACGGCGGCTGATAAAGTGCTAGACTCTGTATCCTCGGACATGGGGATTGGGGCTGATTCTGTAGATGTATGAACTTGATGAGAAAAACAAGTTTGACTTAAAGCTTGCTCGCTAAGTCATAGCATCTGCAAGAGGAAGTCCCTCTAAGAGTGCGAGGATCTTAGGGGTAGCCATTCCTAGAATGGTAAACGTACGAGAGTAAACGTACTATTGCGAAAATCGTGTTGGTTCACGAAAAAGAAAAAGAGAGTTTTGTTAAGTTACTTCAGTTTGGGTTGGGTGTGGTGTGTTGGGTAAGTTCAGAGGTACATTGTGTACTCTGTCCCATAGAATTGCTGATTAATTAATCACAGGAAAAAATTGGTTTTTTTACTTCATAGTCGGCTGGGCTGCGGCTCTACCTGAAAGGAAAATTTTTAACCTGGCGGCTAAAAGCTACGTCGTAACTCTTACGATGTTGAGGTTCGGCTGACGACCCGTTTGTAACTACCGGCACACACTACCGGCTGCTGAGCGTAGGTAGACTAGATGTTCGTCGCTGCAGGAGTGGTCCATTTACTTCGATAGTCGAGTCGAGAGTAAATTGCTGTAGCCTATACATCGATATTTATATGGGGGAGCAACAAAGCAGGGTGGAAAGTCCGGTGAATACGGCGTCGTGGTTGGTTGTTGTTAGTTGGCGCTGTGACGCGTCCTTGAGACGGTGGGTAGTCTGTCGGTCGACAGTAGCCTTGAACGCCCATACGGTATCGCATTAATTCCCATTAGGTAAGCCCGTAGAATCTATGGCGTAGGTGGTGTCTGAACAATTGGTTGGGTGGGGATGATCATGATTTAAATACATAATCGTGACATTCCCATGTGTCTCAATTTGTATACTGCAGACTATTTATATTTGCTTTAAGATTCCTAACTCCAGCTTAATTCTTTAGCTAACATTATAGTCGCAGGCAGTTTGGTTGAGAAAGTGAAAAAAAGGACAAGTGAATTTTGAGGTTATGTTTCCATCTGATGTAGTTTGATCACTTTTGTATATTATTACTAATATTTATTTTATAAAGAAATTTTCTGTTCAAGCATAGCTTTAAAATGATTTCAACATCAAACAATAAAGAAATAAATAACAATGAAACCTCTACAATTGAAGTATTGTTCACAACTGAACACACTTATCTGCTGTTTCCTTTATAGTATCTGTATTGCATCCTATTTCTTTAAATTTTCTGTCATCAGCAATGTTTTTTCTCTACCGGTTTTAGGAATTTCTGTTTGCGTTTGTGCATCGCAGTAAACATTGTCACTGTAACTATACTTGATACAAATAAACGATTAGACACATACGTGTGTCAAGAAATATAGGACTCCTTTCGTCAACTGTATTGTTTTTTAAACATTATATCATGGATTATCTCATCAATAATTATTTCATTCAATTGTCCTCAATCTAAGAGTTGCTTTGTTGGCAGATTCTTGTTACCGTTCCTTTCTTTTAAACGTTGATACCTGTAAGGTTTTTTGAATAATTAATTATAAAGTTGATCATTACTGTAAATTATCTACTAATTCTATGAATTACCTCTGAGTTGTATTTTCATTCAATTTTGATTATAAATATTAGGAAATATAGTTGGCACATAGCTTGGATGTCCTATTTCATCAGATTTTTTGCCACCATTAAAATGAGCACTGCAAACTTTTTATCTTATTCCACGTTGATAATTTATTGCTGGAAAATTATAAAACATACAACAAATGAACAATCAATTATCATCTGCCTGAAAAGCAAGCTTCATATGCATGCTACTTGTTTACATAGAAAGAAGGTTATAAACTACGAATCAGCGACGGATTTACAGTTGTGGCTGGGGTATGCTACCTGAAAATTCTAAATAGGGTAGGAAGAAAGTTTCAATTTTGTCATAGTATGTCATAATATTTCAGAAGATGATTCTTAATATTTTTCTCCGTCTTGCTGTATGGATGGTTTCTATTGTGAGAAGAAATTCCTTGG